AATAATAATATAATCTATAAACTAGTTATAAGTAAAAGTAATTTTATAGTATTCATGTATTTGATTTTGATAAGTTTTTACTGGGTTATACATATTAAGAAAAATTCCAAATAATTTTGGGTACCCCTGTACATATTGGTAAAAAAAAAACGACTACATACTGTTCTAATTTTTAAGCTAACACATTGGGTTTTCTCTTTTAAAATAGTGGTTATGTATTTTATTATGTATTCAACAACCTGTAATAAAATCAGGGCTAAAAAATCGGGTTAACGAGATGATCATTGACTAATTCACATGACACAAATTGGCATCATTTTCTATTTTTATTTTAATCATTTTCATGGTATTACCCTTTTTCGGATTTTTCAGGTCAATCGTATTGTTAACCCTTTTGTTACGAACTTGTCACCTTCATTATAAGCCTGGAAAGAATGGTAAACGGAAAGAAACCTGCAGGTATTTATCCGTAGATCCCGCCAAAAAAGTAGGGCCCTGAATACAGTATCAGCTGACAAATCTCGGTATCGGTTCTTTTTGGCAGCATTGTTTTGCGCAGGCTGTAGAATTAGTCAATGATCATACTGTACATACGAGTATTCCTTCTACCATTTATTCATTAAAGCCTCAATAACGAAACACCCCAATATTTTTCCGAACGGAAGAGCTTCTTTACGTAGTGGTAAATCGCGACCGTTCGTTCAGATCATAATCGTAACAATAGCATTTAACAAAACGTAGTAATTTGGTCATATTTCAAAACTAGTCACCAATTTGTGCGAATGGGTTACTTAAAAATGGTAAACCCGCCTGACCGAATTACGTCGTCATCCCTCTCCTTTGTTCCCAACACACATATATAGACCTATATTGAGCACAAAATAATGCATTTCAATATAATAGTCATCTTTTTCACACAACCACGGTTTGTTTAGTATAATCAATCGATATCTTAGGCTAGGATGGGTGTAACAGATCGAAGAAGTCGCCTGTATGTGCATTACAATACTTACATGCATTGTGCCGTGGTGTACCCATGTCGGGTAGATTATGAAACGCCACATTCATTTTAAATATCGAGATTTGATTGCGAATAACAAGATCTTTTGAGCATTGATCCGAAAAGAAATTCTTTCTTCTTGTATATATTTATAGGGCGTGATCTTTCATAGAGTACCCATCACACTTTAAGAACATCAAAAACATCAAACAAACCAAAGATTGAATAATGATTTCAAGGTTACCATGCGAAGTTCTCGAAGAAGTCTTCAATTATCTATCTTCGGACTCCAATTTCCTTTACAATTGCCTCCTAGTTGACAAACTATGGTGTCAAATAATAGTTCGTATTTTATGGAGAAATCCATGGAATTACTATTCCCTATCCAAATCCATGTTTTGGTCAAGAATCACTAGAACCATTGTTTCGATGATTCCAAGGGAATCAGAAAAATTCATGTTGCAGAATGGGATTGATATTTTGTCTATTTCAACCACTGGAAGGTCACACATGTTCAATTATCTAGGATATTGTAAATACCTATCATTTAAAGAACTTCATAGAATCCGACGAGAAATTCTTGAACAAATTCCAACCTTGTCAGATTTCGAACGTTCTCACAAAGAATTCATCCTAGAAAAAGAAATTTATTCTTTATTCACAAGTCGCTCCTATTCCCTAGCATATCTCCAACTTCTGGACATCACCCTTCCCCAAGTTCCCAAATCAAAACTATCATATTCCAATCCCCTCTCTTCAATTTGTCCACAGGTGAAAGGCTACCTGTTCCCATCGTATATCACTCACCTCGAGCTCCACTCCTATTTCTCCCCATCACTGCTAACCACTATCTCGCATATCACTCAGGTGCAAGCACTTACCATAAATCCATGTGATAGTGATAACCTCGGTCTCTCCACATTGATTAAATCTCAAAAATGTTTGAAAGAACTAAAAATAGTGTGCTCCCATTCTAATGTAGTGTTTGAAGAATTGAGTCAAGCGATCGCGGAGAAAGCGAAGATGATAACGTCCATCAGATTTGTAAGAAATGTATGTATCACGAGTGAGGCAATTCTTGCACTGAGAGAATTGAAACTACTAGAAGTGGATTTGCTAGAATTCAACGGGAAAAGAAGATACTTGAATTTTGATAATTCGTTGAGTAATCTTATTATTTCACCATTTCGATCTACGTCCATGGATGCGCCCAAGTTTTCACGCCTCGAAACTTTAAACATCCTATACGATGATCAAACACCGCTTTCTGTCTATACCTCACTAATAAACTCTATTCAACACTCGAAGTCACTAAAGAAGATATTTATTAATCGTTGGTGCGTACCTGAATTCAATGAATTACAACCATACTTAAATTCGATAACAAGCAATTGTGGTGGAAGCGAAAACTTAAAATCGGTCACGATATGGTACTCGAGATACTTGTTGGCAGAGATTGAGGAGATGTTGAAGAAATGTTTTGGATTGGAGAAAATCTTTGTTTTATGTTTTGAAGACCTGGACGAGATTAACGAAGGAGAAATGGCATGGAACGATGCAAAACCATTTTTGGATTTACTCTGTGCATATGCACCTGCAACCTTGACCAACGTGACATTAAGTGGGAAATGGAATCTGACGGCTCCGGTACTGCGTGAATTTTTGAAAAACTGGAAGAATAGAAAATGCTTAAACGGAAGGGTAGCAACAGAAGCCTTATATTTGAAAGTGGACGTCTATCCGTTGGAACTTGATCAAGAATGCGTGAAGGTCTCCAAAGCATATATAAACGAAGGTGTGTTGGAAAAATTTTGCTATTGATGACATAGATGTATTTTCATATTTATTGGAACGATAGAGTTTTATTTTCGATAGAAAAAATAGTAGCTACTTTTGATAAGTATATTATTTGTTATATTACATTAGAAATTTATGTACATAATATAAAAATCCGTTTGTCACAAATACACTACTTGACCTATACATATATACATACATGCCTTTAGTGCAGGAACTGTTCAAAAGATCATAAAACAATTCCTAATAAAAGAGCAGGAATCATATAGTATATTGCGATATACAGTACATATTATAGTTACGAATTAACATACATCGAGATACGATATCACGTACGAACATACAACAAAACACTTTATTATCCCTCCGTCAGTAAAACAAATACTTGATAGCATGGGGCACAGGTAAGCGACACGGCGAAAAACACACAACAGGAAATGATGCAGTCTTGGAGAACGTAATGTAATTCCCGGAATACTGCAGTAAACATTCGAGAGAACGGATGAGTTCAAAAGGATGGTGGATGCCAACAATAGGATCAACAAATGGATTCATGTTCATTTTATACATTGGAACAATCCACAATGTCTTTTTTGTCGTCTTTATTACTATCCGCCCTGCTATGATTATGTGTAAAAGGTAAAAATATGTTGCAAAGCCACTCAAAGGCATTCGGATCTTGGAAAAAGGTTATTACAATTTAAAATCTTTCTCACGCATCCCGTGATATGATCACGTGGTAACATTTGCAAACTGATTAATGTAACGAGTACTTATAAAATAAGAATTGGTCTTAATTGAATCTATTCGATTATTTTTCTAACGAAATTAAATGTTCCTAAATTAGTAAAATAAAGTGTTCATCGACTCATTTATATCGATATTGGATCATTATTACCCAATTAATAAAATCCCAATAGCAATTACTGTAGCCATCACCGCGCTAATGCCGATTCCAGCTTTCGCTGTACCCTTTAATGAGTCGCTTCCACTGTGCGGTGCACTAGAGTTGTTTGTCGTGCCCGCATCATCGGTGACAGTGCTCGGCCCAACGCCAATGCTTATTTCTCCGAATTCACCAAGCAGACAGTGAGACGAATAGGCACAAAAATAGTAGATTTTTCCGCTATCTTGGGTTATTGTGTAAATATATTGGGAGCCTTCTTCTATTATTCCTGAAGAAACTGTATGAAGAAGGAAAAAACTGTAAAGAAAAGAAATTTTCGTGTGAAAGAAACAAGGAACATTACATACGTGCGTTTGCTTGTGTAGAGTTACTACAGGAACCGGCGGAATCGGATTGTTGAATAATGTGTTTTCCATGAACCATTGCCCATTTTATCTATACGTCCATTACAAAAAAATTGAGAAACAAATAAACTAATTGTAATATAAAAACTTTCCAGAAAATATTTCATGAGAATACTTACAGTATCACCTTTGTTTGCTGTAAGATTCTGCGGATTGAATTGTAGACCCAATTCGTCAACCTTTACCGTGATTTCGACAGCACTTGCACATCCGATTAACACCAGCAAACTCAAGAGTAGTGTGAATGATGATTGCATGAACATTATTATCATCAACTAAAAACTAGTTATTTCTTGGAAATATAGGTAAATTCACTTCCGTTTCGTCAGAAAGATAATGGTTTAGAGAGAGAGATTGCATTCATAAATAAATTGCTAATGTTATGCCTAAACCCAAATAAATTTCCAAATGTGTTCTTTAATATCAATTATGAATTTTAAATAATTTACGCGTATAACAGATGACCTTTGTATGGTTAACCTCGAGTTTTCAGTGTCAACATCATTACGATTCTAAAAATGTTTTGGTTTAAAAACGTTCGTACAATTGAATAACATCTGATTTTTGTACTTGATTACAGGGAATGAAGGATTAACGATTCTAAGCCATTCCTGACACCAAAGAGAAAGAATCTAGCCAAAATCAAAAAGGCAAGGTGAGAAACAATTGCACATCTGGCCATATATGCTGTATATATTTAATATCATATTTGTTTTCGTTATGTATACTACTTTCATCTGACTAAATTTCCTAAAATTAGGAATTCGATTAACAGACTTCATATTTTAAGACCAACTGGTGCCAAATAAACATTTAGGTATACGTATATAGTACAGTATATGCGGTAACGTATTTTTTTTTTCTATTTACAGGTACTGGTTTTATTATGTGATATACTATAAATAATAATAAATAGATAATATTTAGGTAAATGACAAGCGTAAGAAAGTCTTATGGGTTCATCCTTACAATAGAAAGATTATAAGATACAGTATATTAATGAAAATTGTAAAAAAAAAATTTCTAAAAAAAAACATAATTAATTTAATCAATGATTTTACCAAATAGAGTATTTATGTATTACTTCGAATTCACCAATAAAATTGGGTCATCGACTTTTTGATGAAACTCTTCTTCGAAAAACATCGACGAAATTTCAACGATGGTCTATTACTATACCAGTAATGGTACTGTGTCAAAAAAGAAAAAAAAAAACAATGCTAGTCGTTTGGATTCCCATAGCAAGAAATTAATCTAGATACTGTTTCTTAGTGGTGAATCCACCGGCATTCATATACACGGGCAAGGATAAGGAAGAGAGTGAGTGTCCTATTCCGAATGAGGTTCAACATTTCGTACTTTTTTTCTGACCTTCTTTTTCTCAATCTAAAGATGATCAGTTGATTAAGCATGGATGGGAAGAAGATGTATGGTATGGCTTAGCTGATTCATACATGGGTTCAACTATCCTAGTGCGATCAATTTAAGATATGCGTAGGTTTATGAATTCAGATAAACACCAACCTCTGTTGTTAAATCACTTTGATTAATTTTATAATCGAAAATGACACGTTCTTAGGGTGTGTAATCATTTCATTATTCTTGAAATGAATTTTTTTAATTCATATCTTTATAATTTACTGCCTTCTCATTATTGTCCCATGACATGTAGTTTCATGTTCATCCGCATTCGAGTGGCCACGTATACCTTCGACTTCAAGAGGGACAGCAATGGGATAATATTCCCGATGAACTTCTGAATGATTTAGGACAATTGGTCAAGGAGAGTAGTATAATTGGTATGTTCAGCAGGTTATCTGATTGGTTAGGTATAGAATTTTGCCGATTAACGTGAATTATCGTTTACAGGTAGAAAAGAGAAAAATGTCATGGTCCAATATACGCCCTGGTCAAACTTATTGAAGACCGGTGAAATGGCGACTGGTGAAGTGAGCTTTCATAACCATAAATTGGTAATTGCCAGCTTTTATCTCATTTTTCCTCTAAAACATGATGGTTACATCTAATCATGTTTTTATGGTTTCATCTATGATAACTTAGGTTAGAAAAATGACGGTGAGCAAGAAAGACAACATGATCATCAAAAGGTTAGAAAAAACGAAGGTGGAGCGTTTTCCCGATCTTGCTGGTGAGAAGTTGACCATGGAAAAAGAAAAACGAAAGAAAACAAGAGAAGCGGCAAATGTCAAGGTATAAATTACTAGGTTATGGTGATTATCAAAATTAAAATTTGAATGATTGTTTTCTTTATCTTTTGTTATTTAAACTTACCAAGAAACGAGAGGAAGATCGCCTGGAACAGGAACGAAAGGAACAAGCAGCCAAAAGTTCTTACGATTCAATTTTCAGTGAAACAAATATGCGTAGCAATTCTTATGGTTCCGCCGATGGTGATTTAGAAGATGATTTTATGTGAAACAGAGGAGTTTGCTTTTTTTTCTTTGTATAAAGTCTCGAGTTGAATTTGTGAAAAGTTCAAATACCCAAGTGTATCTATCTATCTAATCTGGTAGTGATGTACTGAATTAGAGGCTACCTTCATATTTTAAGGATGTAGAACAATTTTAAATTTCGGATGTGGGAATTATTACTAGAACAAATATATATATATATATATATATTGCATATATCGGTTACCTGATTCAAATTTCATCGCGAATTTAGATCTTGTAAACTGTAAGCAAAGGTCGATGCCAAAATACATTCGTCTATTCATTTTTGCCGAAAGTATTCTTAGCACGAACCTATTTATAACGATAGATAATATATGCGATTATAATAAAAAATTATCTTTTCGACATATTCTATATTAAATATATACTGTATATATATATACTATAATTATAAATTTATTCTAATAATACAAACGAAAGTTTTACAGGTAGTAACACAAGAAACGAAAACTTTATAATGATCAATCGTCATAAAGAAAATAAGATGTTTAATTAGCACTCAGTGAAGGAGCTCTATCAACTGTATCAACACCAGTGGGACCTTCGCGTTCTGTTATATTCCCGTTTTCGTCATGTTCATCACGAACACCACATTGAACATGTACGATATCACTATTCGGTAGTCTCTTGAATTCAGCCCCACTGATGTGCTTTTTACATAATGAACAAATCACATTCTGTGTTATGACTAATGGCCCAATCTCCTTATATGTTTGAAATAGCTCATAATTCACCTAATAAATGAAAATCATTAATACTTTGTAAAACATCGACATTTCGAGAATTGCATTTAGAATTTCTTTTACCGTTGTATTCTCGCCACGGCATAACCCTTTGAGAATCTGTCCTTCCCTGTATTCATGATAGCTTTGCCTGAGTGAACGAATCAAGAATTCATTCAGCATTTCTACGGACCAATATTTTGGAAGAAGGGATAGGACCTACAATATTTAGAAAAGGCATAAATATTCTTGTTTATCGGAAGATCAGGGGAAAAAGAATTTTGTATGAATCAAATTACCTCCATAATATCTAGATATACTGCCTGCGTATTTAATAAATGTATTATAATGTCTACGATTTCATCTCTAAAAAAAAATTTCTTCATTAAAAAAGGAAAAACTACGAATCAACGAGACAAGCATTAACTCCAAAAATACCTATTTTCCATTTCAAGATATACTTTAAGCAAATTTAAAAATAAGGCTCTTCTTGTCGAAAATAGACTTTTCTCCTCGCTTATCTTCTTATCGAAATGCTTTTTAGGCGCACTCTTATTTACAATACCAATCACGCGACCAGCGTGAAGGCAATATATTTCGGCACCACGATAATCCTTCAAGTCATTTATCAATATTTGTAATGCGATTTCGTGTTCTCCTAGCTTGTGTTTTTCGAGGAAGGAAATTTGAATTAATTTTTAAAGGGTTCGGTAAGCTTCGAATTGGTTTGTAAGGAATTTCTTACTACATTACCTTTCCGTAGGCAATGGCTAATTCTGCCTTCAGTATTTTGATTTCGTTTAGTTTAGCCAGAACTTCTTCGGCGTTATAATGTGTTGATGATTGCAGGAAAATTATTAACTTTACGCGTGACTGTGAAAACGTATCGTCCGATTGATTCATTAAAAATGTGAGATATGTTTGTCCGGCTCCTTTACGTTTAATAAAAGAATCCGCTAATAATACATTAATGGCCACTTAATTAGAATCTGACTATGTTGAACTAATGCCAAGTTTTTTTTTCATAACTTAATTAATACAGTACTCAGTGCTTCGAATTTTGATCGTATTTCTTGTTGAAGTATTTCCGCCTGAATATCTTGTATACATAATAATGCGTACTCGGTGTGGTGTTCCTTCTCCTATAAAATCATAAAATTATTTATTCTATTTAAATAACATTATTAATGATAACATTACGAACCTGGCTTTTACGCGAGATAATCAAGTACTCGAGATAAACCTTCAGTCCTTTTTTTCCAACTGATCGTAACTCTTTTAGTATTACGTTCGGTTCAATGGAAATAGGCTTCTTCGAATCTTGTTGAGTAAATATCTAAGGAAATGCGTGGATAATTTGAGATGAGTATCTAAATTTTTAGCGCAGGAGACACTTATGATAATACCTTTGCTCCTATTATATCGTTTTTACGAATAACCCAACTTGCATATTCCAAAACCAATTCTTGATCTCTTAATTTTGCTAGTAAATTAACCATTTTTTGTAATCCATCAGTGAAACCCTGTTCCGAATTTTCTTGATCAATAAGACTAAAGAAAACGATAAAAGCATTTAATGGCACCAATGATAATCCTTAAATTCCATTTACAATAACATGTACACACGTTTTCCAAATTTCCAGAGCTTTTCGATACTCCTTCTTTTGTATATGAAGCAGCGATAAGGGGTAAAGTTTCTATCGCGGTATCAAATCATGTAAATAAAAACAATATCAAAAATATTTTTGATGTAATTTTTAATAGAAATTTCACCTTATGTTCTTCCAATATCTTTCTACACAGATCCAAATCACATTCATTTTCACCCTCCAATAAACTCCTCAGCAAATTGTCTAAATTGGATTCTGCGTACAAATGAACTAATGAATTATCGACTGCCTATGAAGCGATCAACCTTAGAAATTTTAGTTAACCAATGCAATCACAAATAGATCACAAGTCAAAGAACAACGAGTCATTACCTTTAAAATGATTTTATCTTCCTCGGTCAAGACTTTTCCTGACGATTTTCGCTGTTCTCGGTCCAACGTCAAAAACTTTTGTAACATTTCTTTTGCATTTGTAGTAAGGACTTGACGAAGTTTTTGTGTGGCTGGAGATGTTTCGATGTCTGGTTTAATGTGAGGATCGTAATTCTTTATTATACTAACCGATACTAGTGATGAAATTGCAAGTTAGTACACAATAGGATGCTTAGTTAAAAATCAATCGTCTATTAAACATACTTATGTCATCGATACTTCCCAGTCGACTGGCGACTGATTTTACTCCAGAGTATATGTTCACGGGTTTGTCTTCGTTGACAAGGTGTTTCATCTCGGGAAAAAATTGAATCAAGATGCGAGGATCTGTTTTCCCTTTTTCAAATAATGTGTACGATAGATCGAATAAGGTTTCGCCAAGATACAAAAATCCCGATTTTTGATGAATGTAATTGAATTCGTGACGCTAAGAACGAAATTTAATATAATCGGTTATAAGAATTTTTACTTTGTAGCCACGAAAAAAAAAAACAATGAATAAAAAGATGCTTGCCATTCTTTCACTGTGAACATTTTCAGGTGTTGCAGTACGTATTGCCTGCTCAGCCAACTCTAAAGCCTCTTCAACACGATTTGCATCCAACATCGCGTCAACCTTTAAAAAAATACATACATGTATAAACAAAGTAATTTAAAGTCATCCCAAATATGAAAAGATTCATAATATTCATACTTGAACAGTAATAGGTGTTGTCGCTAAAGCCATCACAAACTCACTGCCAGCAAGAATGAGTCGTGTGGGAACCGTGGGTAAAAAATTATCCTGTCCTATTTTGAATTCATCTGGTGGTGTGGAGTTGTCATCGTACGCGACCGAAAATAAATTTTCCAACTTTAGCCTTTCCATCAATCCCGCCACCCTTACTTTAATTCCTGGACCAGTTGAAATTGTCCTGAATTTTGATGGGAGCTGAAAACTTTGTACAAGTTGTTGATCCATAATATTATGAACCTCCACTTGATTGTTACGTAGTAATGCTACGACATACGGTAATTCAACTCCTGCATGCGTAATGCATTCGTGCGGTTGGTATTTCACGCGAGTACAAACGAAGCAAGATAAAAGGGTCAACATAAATACCAATGGCCCTTGGGAGGCTTTGCCATTGCAAAGTTCCACGTACAGGCTCCCACATCCCACGTCCCGGCTCCAATCGGAAAGAAATAAATTGTCCTATTGTCATCTGTTCATTATGAAACATAAATTAAGGAGTCAACTGTAGCATAATTTAGATATTTCATATGTTGTTCCATAAAGGATATGACTATTGGCGGGTAAAGCTAATAAGAACTCCGAATCCCCAATAATTGTAATGATTGGTTTAAACATTTCGTTTCCCATCGCTGAGTTACGATCATTGTATTGCATAACATTTTCCAATCTTTTTTCCTTCAAATTAATCAACTTATACCATTGGTGGTCCGCGATACACATATAAGGACCATATTGACAAGCAGTCATTGCTCCATCCGGTAACGCAATGGTCTATTGATAAATGTTGTTATTTATTACAAATTCTTGATAAATAATTGAAATATAATGATGATAAACAATACCGTCTCTTCTGTCCATCCGCTTCCGATGGAAAAAATATGTATGTTTCTTTTTTTTATCGCACAAATTCTGACAGAACCATCGTTTTCGGTTTTACCCTCCATTGATATATCGTGGCAGAAACAAGTTACTCCTTTAATATAAGGAAAATCTGATAGAGGCATCGGATCCATGTTCGGAAGAGCATAAGCGGATAACGTAGAATCTAAACGGATGACATATTTCATTAAACAAGGCATAATCTGATGGGACAAAGATTTCTATATTTTTGAATGTTATTTACTTGCCACACAAAATGATAGCCACACAGATTTGCGGAAAAAGCATTATTCGTTCAACAATCCTTTTACCAAAACCAAGAAATAACTTTGACACTTGAAAATTGTTGGGTATACTCTATTGAGGAATTCATTAGATATTTGTTATTGCTCTTCTTGTTGATAACATTTTATTGCAAAAGTAATCAAAGATGCAAACATTTTCAGAAGATATTTGATCGTCAAGAAAATAGTGAATAATATGTCCATCTGAGGTTCCTACGTATAGATTATTTTCTATATGATTTCAAAGTAGAAGATTAGATCTGTGGAAAAATTAGGTCGAAAGCTTCATTCAGCTCGAAAGATATAGTTTAATGAAGATAATATACGCAAACTGTACCCCAAGCTTCCACTGATTCAACCGTGACTTTATTTTCTTTATTTCCCCATCCCAGACGTGAACTGGCATTATTTCTATTATCTTTGTTACCCCACCCAAGTAAACCAGTAACAGTGTTTTGGGACGACGCCTGTTGAGTGTCTTCTAATGACACGTTATCAAGAAGTGTTTGTAGGGTAAAAGGCGTGAAATGCATTTTATATTCTATTCACGAGAACCGAAAGAAAATTGTGTAGATCGGCAATTTATAGTTGTACATTCCCGTGATTTATTATATAGTATATTCCTTAATTATGGTATTTAATTATATAAATCTTTATTGCATGAACTATTCTACAGACTTTAGCTAATTGTCTTTAGATGTAACTTTGAAATTGAAAATATGTTTTCTTATAGATAGAAACATACAGTATGTTACAAAAGTTTTTGGTCTAATATTTTTTAATATAACTTAATAAATAATTATTTTTTAGCCTCTAATCAAATTGCAAATATAAGCATTTATTAATCTAATTTTTAGAAAACAGTAATACAATATACATGATACTATACTAAAGCTAAACTAGCACAATTTTGCAGAATGCCTGTCAATGAGTTTAGATTTGTATGTAAATCTTGAATCCTTAATATCAAGACCATCATGTTGTCCATATAATTTAGCTATTTATTAACTATCTCATTACAAAAAGTAGATTCATTAAGCTATTATTGTGTATAATATTAACTATCTTAGACTTTTTAAATCTAAACTCTCTAAATGTAATTATGGGGAATAATAAAAATTGCTTCTTTTCAAAGTCTATGCCTTGAAGATTAAAGTCAATTTACATTCAAACCATCACTTCAACACAAACCTATAGTTCTAAAAAATAAAAAAAAATTATTTTTTAAGAAAATAAAAAGAAATAAAAAGAGTAGTTGAAAAGTTTATTCTGGTAAATAAAAACCCTTCAATATTAACTTTGATCTATTGGAATAAATTCTTTATTACCACCTGAAACTAGGCAAACTATTTAATTTTCACCATTTCATTACTGATCAAAAACATATAAGGTACTTATAACAAATCTTATATCCTTAAGGAATTATTGCTTGAAACAAATCATATACTTTAGTAAATTATTGCTTGATACTTTCTTGGAATAATCAACAACAGAGAAAGCTTGTTACTAAATTAAGATGAAACTTTTTTTAATCTTAAAAAAAAAAGAAGAAGCATTATAACATATCTTGATAAAACAAACATCTTGTCATTTTATTCTTTTTACTATATTCAATAGTATCATTGGATTTATTGTTATATAAAATAAAACATATGGAAATTTCATATCTTGTTTATGTTTTTTGTTACATATAGATCAACCAGTCCAAATTTTTAGCCAGTTATTATTCAAAAGTTCTGGTGTAATCAAAAATTTAAGATCAAACTGAGAGACAAAATTTTTTAAAAAAACCAAAAAAAAGTTTATATATTTGAGAAAAAAGAAGAAGAATTTGAAAAAGATAAAAGAGAGTTTTAAAAGTCTATAGTAATTTTTTCTAAAGTCTTGAACCTCTAAAAGAAAAAAAAAGTATATTTTTTCTACAGGTTTTTTTTCTTAACAAAATATTCTTGCTTTTGATTTTGTAGGTAAATTTTTCTTATATTTATTTATAAAGATATAAAAAGTTTGTTTTAAAGAAAGAAAAAAACAAGTAGAGAAAACTGAAGTCTTTGAATAGTAATATTGTTAAAAAGAATGTATAAATTTTGTTACAAAGAAATATAAAATTTTTTTGTTTTTTGAATTGACAAGAAGATTAGTAAAAAAAATTTTTTTTTTTTTCGCAAACAGACATTAAATGCGAGACTTTTTATTAGACGAGAGTTTATAGCCATTACATTAAGAATCTTTTACATATTTTGTAAATTAATCCTAGCTTATCACGCTTTTTACCAGAATACCAACTTACACCCAGTCGGTGGGTCCATACCCTGGTTTTATACTTATGACTCCCTATCTGTAAATATAAGGTAAGAAAAATCCTGTACCAACATAAAAAACCTTTCTAGCGGTCTTCTTTTTTGGCTTATGACCCGGCTCACCCACAACAATTGAATCACCAATCCGGATTGCACCAACATCAGATAGAGAGGTGGAGGTCCAATCGAATTTTGGAGTCTGCCGATCCAGTTTTTGGGGTACTAGCTAATTGAATATGACCTATATCAGGAAACTAGCCAACCTGAATAGGAAGGATGGTGATATAGAGTTTGCCATTCCAGTTAGGATTGTAGACTTATACCAGAGTTAGACCAGAAGCCTTGCCTCGTGCAACCTTTTCTGCTTCAACCTTGTTTCAGCCTGCGATCGTCAGAAGAGATGAGATTAATTTTTGAATACATTTGTTATGATTATAATTATATTGAATAAAGAAGTTAGTGACAATTGTCGGTAAGTCTATGATGGTTTCGTTTTGAATGTCATTGGAGTGCAAGTTTCCATTAGAAGCGGTATGATTTCTTTTTGATTTGACTGAGTTGATGGTGTTTAGTAATTCGTTTGGTTTCCATTTGATACCTATAAGAGGCGAGGTGTTGGCGATGTTGCATCGTGATTTCCAGATTGAGTTATACAATTGGGTTAAGGATTCAGTTGATGCCTTGACCCAGTTGGTGGTGTCTATTATGGAAAATATTCTATCGGTGATACCACATGACAGTTCTATGACTTGTCATATGTGAGAGATTGATCTGGAGTTTTTGTCTGGATGAAGAATTTGGTTGATATTGTTTATGATTTGACTGACCTTTTCTGAGGCTTCAGGATATTTAAAGACATGCTGGATGTCTTCAGTGCAGAGTTCACATCTTGGGCAACACCTATTTGGGTATTGATCAGGATGATGTTGATGGAGCATTTGACGGGTTGGGAGTGTTTCTGAGAGGAGTTTGATTCTGAACATTATTAGATTGCTATAACTGTTGTTGTATACTCTTTTGATGTTTTTATTGAACTGATTAATAATTTTTAAACCATGTGGGATATGACGCTGTTCAAAGGTTTGGAGAACTGAGGTGCTTTTACAAATCATATAATTTCTAGTAATACTGAAGATTTTTTTGCATCATCTGACACTGCTACCTAAACATGTGTTGTTGATTAGAGGGCTTTCTGCGAAGTATAGTGAGTAATTGCTCTATTGGATTGTCTTGTTTGTAAATGGTCTGGACTTGGGTTTGGTATATATAACTTCTATTGACTTCTGTTTCAGAACTTGGTTTATTTGCTGGATTAGGAAAGAAAAGTTAATTTTAATTATTCTTCTTGGATGAATTGTTACTGGTTGAAGGATTTTTTTGTTATTTCTGATTTCAATGATATTGCACTGGAAGCTTCATTGAGTAATATCAAGTATTGCTAGTAGGATATTGCCAGGAGCTAAGCAGGTATTAGAGAGTTCTATTTTGCACTCGTTGATGACTAGATAGTTTTTATAAGATTGGATATGGTAATGTTGGTAATGCCCCACTTCTTGAAGTGTGTTTTGAGAAATAGGTTGTTGTTAATGTTGATTGATTGGAGAGTTTGTTTGCTTCTGCATGATGAGTTGATGGTTTTGTCAATAATATTTAATAGTCAGTACTTATTAATGCTAAATAGGTTAAGAGATATCTATAAAGTTGATACTGTTGAGCTTGTGAACATTATCCAGCAAAAGCCATGTGATTGTATACCAACTGGGCATCCTGGATACTTGAGGAGGTTGTTAGTTGGATCTATTGTGAAATGCTTTCCTTTGAGCATCATCCCTTTTTGCACTAATGATCGTCTCTTGTGGATCTTAACTATTGCGTTTGAGCCATGTATAAACCAAAATATTGCTCTGGGATTTGGTATTGGACCATGTGATCCTATAAGATTCTTACTATTTGCAAAAGTTTTGAACCAATTTGATTCTGGGCCAAGACGAATTATGTCTGTATGTGAGGCAAGTTGATGCCATGTAAGTTTGATGGTACTGCTAAATTTCAGTAACTGATTAGTAAACTTCAGGTTAAGTGCGTTTGTTGTATTTATTGCTGTTTTTTTGGATTGGGGTTGTAGACCTGTAAATAGGAAGCCAATTGAGTTCTCTGTGTTGTTTCAATGGAACGTACATTCCATTAGACATATGTGAATCTTGAAATCTTTGGCTGCTCTTGCTGCATAAAGAATTCAATTATCTTGATTAAATTTCTTTGGGTCACATATAGGGCAGAACCATATTGCCTCTTTCATTTGGATAGATCGGATGTCTTGTATAGTGTATTTCCTAATAGACAGAATAGCAAGTTTAGATATGAGATTTCCTACCAATGTGGTTTTTTGCCTTTCTTTTATTGCTGATAGGTTAAGATCACTTCGGCTAGTTAATATTGTGTTGGAACATTTGGAAGAGATTCTATAAGCTAATTTTATAAGCTTGTTGATTTTGGCTTGGAGCTGTTTAAAATTTGTTTGGTTGAGAAATGATGAGAGCAGGAAGTATTCGAATTTTTCCATGATTACCCAATCACTGATTTGCTACTTGATTTCTCCTTTCCAATTGTGTTTGAACAGTTCATCAATAATTTGAGTTGATGTTTGGATGAAGGCTTTCCTGTTTGTTCTAAGAAATCTCCTGGAGGAAATTAATGTACCGAGATATTTCATACTCTCGTAGGATTAAAGGATTTGGATTTGGTGGTTGTCAAATTGGATTGTTTTTTGGGTACCATGTTTAATCTTGATGTTATTGATGATTTTGATTTTGTCCTTGTTGCATGTAATACTGTTGATTGCAAAAAACTAATTGGTTGTTGCAAGAAGGTCCTCCATTTCTTGCTTGGATTCAGCAATAAGTGCTAAATAATCCATATAGGCTAAGGTATTAAGAGCAATATACCCTTGGACTGAATGGTGTTGAGCTAGTTTGGTAATGAAGGGGTCATAGAAGATGACCCAGGTAATGGGTAACAGGGTTTCGCCTTGTTCTATTTCATTGTTGATGATAAATAATTCAGTGGATCTGAAGGGTGTATTGAAAGAAATTTTTCTGTTACTGAGGATGTTTATGAGAAGGTTGATAATTTGGTTTGGATAGCGAATTCTTTCTAGGGACTTTTTAATTGCTGGTATGAGTGCGAACCAAAATTCTTTGTTTTTGACATTAGCTGCATGAAAAGCTGAGTTGACAATTGT